GACAACAGTGACTGTCAACAACTGATTAAAGCAAGAATTTTTGCTGGTATTAATTCTTCTCGCCTACATATAAACGTTCGCATTCGTTCGCAGGTAGGATTTCCCTTTGATCTTTTTAAATAAACCGACAACCGATGGAGCGCTTTCGTTCGCATTGCTACCCATTTTCTTCGCCTCCGCTCGCTGCGAATCCTCTCCTACACCTGACAAAAATTCGTCGGCAACGCGAACGAATGCAAACTTTCGTCAGATGTATGACACTAAGTATGTTAAGAAACCAATAACATATTGTATATTGCGTGTGATTGCGGCCTGACGCGAGTACGGCTACAGTTACCAAATAAACCTGAGATTAATGAGTTTATTATTCATTAAGTCTTATCATTTTTTCCAACAAACCTTTAAATCAGTAAAGGAAAGTGAATTTTTACAAATAAAATTATTCCACTTTCTGCGGGGTGTTTTCGAACATGCCACGTACAGTTACGGAAAGAAGTAATGTCCATTTGAATGCTCCATTGTAATTGTTCGGAGGCATTCGGGTTTTGCTAATAAAATTAACATATCTATTTTTAAACTCAATAATTCTACCTACCTGCTATTTACCATTCTTTCTAAGCCCATTTCATTTGAAATATTTAAGGAATAACATTGATTCTGAAATAATTTAAATAAAATATATGTTCTATAACTTATTAAATAAACTATATATTATTTAATAAGTTGTTATTAATAAAATAATATTTTTAAATGAAATATAGACAATTAATACTAAAATAATTATAAATTAAACTAAAATGCATTTTGTGCACTATTAATACGTTTTTCTACTTGCATATTATTGAAATTTGCATTCATATTGCATATTATTGAAATTTTTTGTTTTTTTTGCGTAAATAATGGTAACCAATAAAACCGCCCTGCCTATCAAAGTGAATTATATTATATTATTATTATATTCACGTTGTTAGGTATCAGTGATTGGCTTATTTTAATATTCACTGTTATTTGAACCAATAGGGTTTTAAATTAGAAAAAAGTAAGGTTGACAGATGTCAAATTTATTTATATATACGAGGGGCGACTATAATGATCTTTAAAATAGGAGAAAAGTGAGGTTATAATAAATTTTGTTATCAATGAAAATAACTTAATTGGAGTAGAAAAACATAGTATTACACTCGAAATAATGCGCATTATTTACTCGGATGAATTACGTATCTCGCCTGACGGCTCGACATGCAAACCTTATCCTTTTGAATAATAGCCTGCATTATCTCTCGTATTATAAATAATAATATACTATCATCAAAATTTAGTTTTCATTACTTGTTTTATGAAATATCTGCCCAATACCAACTTATTTCAATGTATAAAATATGGAAACGGCATAAATTTATAATTATTATAATAATTTAACTTGGTATTCCCAAAGGCTCTAAGTGTCAAAAATAAAATTGTAAGAAATCAATGAAAATCCATCCATCTTTAAAATACAAAAATAATATGGAGAAATTTTTTTTAGTCGTTTTGCACATAGACTATTTTTAAATATAATATAATATTTGACCAAATTTGGTCCAAACCCTTTGGGAATGCCATGCTTCAACTATAATTGAGGAGCATCCGTGCAAAACCGGCTAAATCCATTTTATTCAGTTTTTGTTTTTTTCTTTGATTTCGCATCTTTGGGTTCATTTCTATCGACTACCAGGATAATTCTGTTTAAATCCGACTATATCCATGTTAAAATCACATTTAAAAGGTAGCTTTAGGAGCAAAACCGGCCAAATCCACGTTTTTATAGCAAACCCGGCTATATCCAATAAATAATAATGATGATGAGCATGTGGCTTGGATATGTCGATACTACTAATAAAATTTGTTCTATTTTTTCATGTTTGCACTAAATTTATTTTGTTAATATTTTTGAATAATAAAGGTTTTTTTCACATTTTATTCGTTTTTTATTCGGTTTTTGAGCAAAACCGGCTTTATACAAAACATTTTTTGAAATTTTGGCCTTAATATAAAGTTTTTGAAAACGAAAGTATGTCTTATAAATCAAGTACCACAAAGCCCACAAAACTCAAGTTTGCTTTTTCTTTTATCTGTAAAGGCCAGGAAACCGAGAGTTTTTGCCATTTTCCCAACATTTTCTTAAAGTGGATATAGCCGGTTTTGCACGGATTCTCCTCAATTATTAATGTAATTATTTACCATTTCTTTTTAAATAAAAAGGCAGCTTTCTTTGCTAATGGTTTTAGATAATATTTTCCTAAAAAAGGGTCCTACTAAATTTTACCATAAATTTTGTTTCGCTAAAAAAGTTTGAAAATCTTGAAAATTTCTATAAATTCAACTTTTACCTTGAATACCTTTTAAAAGAGCCCTACCAAAATTTGTTTCAGTTTTACTAATCCGAGTTAAACTATTTTAAAGTATTTTAAAAAAATCTCATTTTATTTTAATGGGAAATAAAAATTCCCGATGAAGGGCCCGTAAATATAATATTAAGAGCTTACATTTTAACAGGACCATTTTTTTGAGATTCGGTCCAATTTTTTGAGGTGCTTTAAAAATAAATATTCGATTTTTTTGTATAAGTCTAATAATTATAATATAATATTTTTTATCAAATATTTAAAAAATGTTCCTACATTTAAAATATTAATATGAAAATTTAAAATATTATTATGAAAAAATAAGAATAAATGTTTATAAAACTATACAAAAATATATCAAAAAATTAACGATTTAATAAAAATACAGTTAAATATGTAAAATATCCAAAATAATTAATTCAATACGAGCAGGTAGTAAATCCCTAAGAGGCAGATGTTGACCATTTCCGAATGCCTCCGAACAATTACAATGGAGCATTCAAATGGACATTACTTCTTTCCGTAACTGTACATATAAAAAGCGCCTAGGAGACTCTCATTATGTAAATTATTCCCAAGAAATGCTGGAAAACGCTTTGAGGGATATTAAATCTCAAAAAATGACATACAGACGAGCTGCTGAGGTATATAATATACCTATTGCAACTCTTTGCAATAAAGTAAAAGGACGTCATCCATTAAAAGCTGGCGGCCAAACAAGTTTAACTAAAGATGAAGAGCAAAGTCTCTCTCATGGTATTCAAAAGGCTGCGGAATGAGGGTTTCCCCTGACCAGAAATGATATCCGTTTATTGGTCAAACAATTCCTTGATCGAAACGGAAAAAGGATTAATTGCTTTAAGGATAACATGCCCGGTTTTGACTGGTTCTACAAATTTTTAGAAAGAAACAAATTTAACTGAACGAATATGTCAAAACATTAGTCAGATTCAAATGCCGTAAAAGTAACGACAAACACTATATTGGAAAGATTTCTGAAATGTATGTAAACCAGCCGAAGATTATGTTGGTAGATTTTCTTAGACAGAAAAAATCCGACAAATTTGATATCTATTTTTATTATCCAGATGTGAAGGATGAGAGCCTAGTCAACAGAAACGATGTAATAATGAAGTTAAAGTCGCCAAAAAATCTAAGAAGAAACCGATGGTCATTTAACGATTTACCAAAGAGATATCCAATCGAATAAGTTCCTTTTAATTTTTATAATATTCTTATTTTGTTTCGTTTATTTAATTTTTTAAGTTTAAGAATTCTTAAGTTGTTGTTTCTTTTGTTACATGTTTTATATAAAATATAATATTTAGTACCCACGTTCATATACATTTTGTTGTACCTACTTTTATTAATAAACTGTTTTAAAGCAAAATCCACTTTATCTTATTTTATTCCAATTCGCCACTACGAAAGGGGAATTTTGGTTTCTATACATTTTAAAGCATTGTTTACATTCACCCCACACGCCGGGTAAATTCGGATAAACTTTGGAAAATAAAAAATATATCAATTTATTTTTTTCATAAAATGAGCTTTCGTATACCTACTAATAGAGAAAGCTTTGATAATGCTACATTAATTTTTGTAGACTTTTTTTTGGTTATATACGGAAGTTATTTTAAAAATACATCAAAATGCGTTCGAATTCACCCCAAGTTACGGTACCTGTGAATATTAAAAACTGTGATAATATGTAAATTGTTATTTTTATGTAGCAGTGATGCTTATTAAATAAATTTTTATTATATGATGACATTAAATTAGAATACACTAAGCGGAACCGTTTTATAAAATGGATAATTTTATCAAGTGAGCACGACATATTCAGTGTGACCCATTTGTTTGCGACTCACCCCTGTAAAATCTTTATTTATTGTGCGATTTTAACCGGATTTGTTTTAAAGTATAGATCATGATAAACTGTATTTTTGGAGGAAAAGACGCCATATTAGTACAAAATACAAGGCCTACTATGTCAGTTTTTAGGAGTAAATTTTTAAGAATTCATATTAGCGATTTTTTTAAACAAAATCCAAGCACGGCACTGGATTCACCAACCCTTAAAACTACCCTTTACTATATTTTATAAAAAAAAATTAAGTAGAAAAACGCAAAATAATAACTACAAAAATTTATTCTGTCAAGTTATCCATGAAAAAAACATTGAAATAAAATTAAACTTATAGTAATAGTACCATGTTATTATTAGGATAATTTTATTTCAATGTTTTTTTCATGGATAACTTGTGCATTTTTCGACCTAAAATTTTTCAACAAAAATCGCCAATATGAATTCTTAAAATTTACTCTTAAAAACTAACATAGTAGGCCTTGTATTTTGTACTAATATGGCGTATTTTCCTCTAAAAATACAGTTTATAAAGATCTAAACAAATCCGGTTAAAATAGCACAATAAATAAAGATTTTATAGAGGTGAGTCGCAAACAAATGGGTTACACTGTATAAATGACTGTTAATATAAATTTGCCATATTGGCAATAAAATTATAACACAATAAAGTAGATAGATAAAGCCATCAATTTTGTAAATTTCACTACCCTGCAGCAAAATGGCTGCTGACCAGTGTTATTATTTACCTTTCCATCAATAAACGTGCATCCCATTCTTTATTCCCATGATAATGTCCAGGCTCATAACCCGCTCTAAAATAAATAACTGCAACCATATACCCATCAACAATTAATTCATTTTCTGATGATAAGCTTCCTTTGTCTGCAATTTGTGTTAAACTTCTTCTTATTACTTTAACTTCTGGATTTAAATTTCTTATTTCAAATTCGTGAAATCTTTGATCACAAATATTATATGTTATATCTTCAACAACAAATAATATTACTGCTTCTAGTTTTCCATAAATTTTCCAAGCATCAATAAGACCTTGACATAAACCTTGTAGAGCATTATTATCTGGCAACTAAAATTAATTTTTATTAGTTTTAGAATAAAAGAAAACAATACAATAAAATCCCACGGTTAATAATAAACATACAAATAACTGTATTTTTAAATAAAAACCATACATATTCACTCTAGGATTGTAGCCTTTAATAGTTTTTTACATGTCAAGCTTTGTAAATAAATCTTTACGGGCGAGCTGGAAGTCAGTGAGCCTAATAAAGATTAATTGCAAAGCGTGACACATACAAACTTTTATTTTCAACTTTAGATAGGTAACGATTTTCATATTTAAAATTTCAATCAATGTGTCAAATGTGTCATTTCATTTCATAAATTGCGTTTCTACAAGTAAAACTTGACAGGTCTTTATACCAGCCCATAAAATATTATAGGTCTGTTCCCATAATGTATACAAGGTATCCCTAAACTTATTCGCATATAAACATAAGTAATTAGGAAAAATATTTATTCAGGTTTTCGTCTTATTTTGACTTGCTCAATCTTTTCCTAAATTTATGCGAATAAGTTTAGGGGTACCAAGATACAGGGTGATAAAGTGTTACTTATCATATCAGTTTTTTTTAATATAACTTCTACTATGGTAGTCTTGGAAAGGTGATATTTTGCGAACAGTCACTTACTACCAAAACACATATTCACAAATAATTACAATTCTTTGAGTTAACATAGTGTCGTAGAAACGGGGGTTGCTTTAAGCTTATTGTCCCATACAAACTTTGAGGTTAGGTTTTTATAACATTTGATGCAATTTTTCGATTACACAGTTCAGCTACCATTAAAAAGGTGTTCCTCTCAAACGTCGATAAAATAAACCGTTTTAGAGATATTCGAGATTACAATAATTGTTATATCTTGCTCTACCCAGTGAAGTAGTCTCCATGTGGACATCAGCATGAATTAATTCTAGTGTTTTGTTTGCCCTTGAATTACTGTCTTTAAACATGTTTTTGTGTTGTTTACCTGCTAAACATTTTATGCAAACAAAATTCTTTTTGTCATCTATATTAGGGTGTTCCTTATTTTGGGTCTTTTAATTTTTTTTGGTCTCACCATCTAAACAATTTTTTCCCGTGCCGACGAGGGCCTTAAGTTTGATAAAAGACGTATTTTAAAATAAAGACACTAAAATCTTTTTTTATTCGTGTTTACTTTATTTTGTACAAATAACTGTTATATATTATTATATATGATCTCCTTAGAGGAGTCTTGAAATAAAGTAAAATTATAATTAATAAATTATTAATATGTTTGTTTTAATGTATCTTTTTTGCAAATGGGATAGAATCTTCTGTGCTCTTGCACACATTGCAAAATTTATTGATTTGGTTTCTCGTCCTTTGTCAGGTCGCCGTAAAAATCCTCCATTAATTTTACGGACCTTTCAGCAGTGTCGTTGACGACTTTAAACGCATTTTCGCGTCCATTTAAATACGACACTTGCATTCCCATGTTGAGGGATCATGATTCAGAAATTCTGGGTCGATATTGAATGTAGAAAATAGATTTTTGCTATTTTCAGAAATAAGTTGTCAATTGTTCTGGCTGAAAACAAACTTGTATTAATACCTATAAAGTTATCATCGATTTCTTTTAGTTTAATTATCAGTCGTTTAGTTAGACTAGAAGTTCCCTCATTTTTTAGACCTTTTACCATTAGTTTTTTTGTTTCGATTGATAAATCATTATCAAAAAATGCTTACGCGACCGTCTCTTCCGTTAAATACCATAAGTGGCCACACATTTTTTAATGGCTGCTTCGGAAATTATTGGATCTTTGCCTTCATACATTTTCAAATTCCTTATGAAATTAAGATCTTGATGTGGAGCTTTACTTAGCATTGGACAATTAAACCACGCTTTTACGTAAAATCGAATTATAAAAATGCAGATATCTCCAAGAGCAGTTTCTTCCATACTAAAAATTTGATACTCCTTACGAAACATACAAATTTTTAAACAATAAATGGCCCGAGCCATCTACCTAGCTTGATGCATGGCTTCAGGAGGACGAATTTTGAATTACGTTTCTTTTAGTTTGCTTGGTGAAAAGTTAAGTACTTCAGTTCTTACATCCTCTAAACCAGCACAACATTCGGGATTTTCAATTCCGTTTTTAAATGAACTATGATATAGACTGCACCAGTTTTTCTTAAAATTTTTAAACAACGGAATATCTGGACTTGAAGTTACATGGGGTATTCTAGCTTCAAAAACGCCTCTCAAAACCAATTCATAAATGTGGTGACGATAAAGAAGGTAAAGAAGATCTTTTCCCAGCATTTGCTTTAACAAAACACACGCTCCAGAAATTCTCCCAGTGTTTGAGGCTGTAGTACCACAACACAATGCCTGAACTGTATCCGATAATCCCCATTCCATAATGCATTATAAACAACTGATGCCTTATCTTGTCCGGTTGAACTTTTAAGTTTCGGTACTTTAAGAAGTTGTTTTACTAGTCACGACAATCGGTAGTCGCTCAAAAGATGATTCATTAATACTTTATCTTGGCAAAAGCTTTCCGTCCCAATGTACAGTAATATAGCTAGGTTGCGATCCTTCGAATCTGGATTTAATTGATTCAGTACACCGAGCGTGTAAATTTTTACGGCATTGATAAATGAAAGTGCTATTTATTACTAACTCATCTATGTCCTAAAGCTTCTGCTGTCGCTTGTAATACATAAATTGCATCTCGAACACTTAATTGGCACCGATCTAAGGCTACAACCAATTTTGGTGAAATAAATCTTTTTTTAATAACCTAACTTGGCTGAATTGGCTCAGGTGATTCCATTAGTGTAGTTGGCTCATTTGGCTTAATTTCACATTCATGTATTCGATGTGCTTCGTCTTCGTCCGAATCCAAATCTTGGATTGTCGGATATTCCGTCGAAGTAGATGGTCCTATTAAAAATTGTTCATACTTCCTTTTTCTTTCACTTTCTTGTTGTTTTTGTTTTTTGGATCTCTTTTCTTTCTTTTCTAAATTTTTATCAATCCCTCCAAGATATCCTACTCGACCTGGTTGTCTTTGTGCTATTAAAAATTGCTTATCTTCTTCTACATATTTTTATTATTTGTAAGACGTCAGAGTGTGCAATGTCAAACAAGTTTTCTAAATTTTTTTCAAACTTATTTTCCTTTTCTTGATAATGTCTCCAGTTTTATTTAATTTTTTTTGTAAATTTCGCCATTCTGTGTGTAAATTAAGCAATTTATGGATGCAGTGTTGAATAGCTCTTGTGGGTATCCTTGATTTTTCCCAAAAAATTGCTGTTTCACGAACTGCTAAATTCGCACTTTCACGCGCATTTAATTTTACTTTTCTCATAATAAACAAGTCCTTTCGGTGTTTTTTTTACAATATTATTGTAAAAAAAACACCGAAAGGACTTGTTTATTTGGGGGGAGTTTTGAACCACGTATTTGGCTATCCGCCAAATAAACTCTTTCTTCACTTCTAAGCGCCCAAGCCATTTTTAACGCGAACTAATTATTATAAATTATATTTAAAACGCATAAAACACAACAAAATAATCAACTAGACTGCAAGACAGCAATTTGTCCTTCGCGCATATGCGCAGCGCATCAGTTAAATAAGTTTGTTCTTGTCAGCGTTGCCAGACGTTACTATATTAATGGTTTTTAAACCATTATTTCCCCTTGTGTACCTGTACAATTTTTCATACTATTAATTGGAATTTTGTACCATATTATACCATTAATTATAAATCTTTATTTCATTGGAACATAACTGAGATTTTGTTAAAATGCTACCCACCAAACATCAAACCTTACAATTGCAATTAAAGTATTGCTGCAATATTGAACTCGTAATAAAATTTAAAGCTTTAAAATTTATATTGCTGCAACGCTGCCGCAATGTTAAACAGCAAGCTTACAAAGCGTAACATTGCTGCAAGTCTTTGTTGCCTAAGCTTAAGCTTACAGAAAAAAGGTTACTTATGGGACTGCGCGCATGTGCTTTTTAAATTATTAATTGATTGATTGTTAACAACCAATCAACAACGACCCCTCCAATTTTAGTACAGCGCTGAACAGATGGCGTCATAGATGGCGTTTTAAGTTAAAACTTTTAACTATAGTTGGCATCGCCATATTTTATGGGCATCGTGTTTGTCTGTGATGGGCATTAACTTTTGTTTCACAGATCATAAAGGTGTTGTGTTTTGTTTTTAAGCCTAATATAAATTATATTATATAATAACAACTGTTACCAAGGTAAGACTTTAAATATTGTTTTTTGCGTAGTTTAGAGTAATACCCGTAGGTATAGCTTAAGAATTGTTTTATCCATATAAATTTTAAAGGAAATTCCACGCGGTCTAAGGCCCGGTATTTCAGTCGAAGTTTAACAAAAAACGAGTTTAAATTCAGTTAAACCATTGTTTTTAGAGGTATTAACCTCTAAAACAATGGTTAAAGTCAAAATTCGTGTTGTTAATTTTGAGGTTATACTTTTTTTAGGTTTAACTACTTGTTGGCATTGTTATGGGCATTAATTATTGAAATACGTAATATGGATGCAACACAGACACAGATATTAAAGTAAAAATAATGCACTGGCTTCAGTATGCAGGAGTACGCCACAACCGTCAAAAAAATTGACAAGAATTTTAGTTTTTAGTGTTATATAATAATATATATATTATATAATATTATTATGATTTAGTTTACACTTAATAAAAATGACAAAAAGGAACTGATGTACCTGAAAATTCTAGTTTTTTTAATCAGCATAATGTTTTTGATTTAGTTTATACAGGGTATCTCGAGATAAGGAGATTCCTTACACCAAAATAAGTCAAAAACTCTTTACAAATACCTATTTAAAAAGTTTTCTTCCCTACTTTACTAGTGGCTGGTGGATTTTGGGTATACTATGTCAGTTATTAGATATGAGACCCACACTAATGAGTTTTTAATGGTATTCAATAAACAATTGTTTTGCGCAAGCAGAGTTTTGCGAAAAAAAGTTAGTTTTTCAACGTGCCTCCCATGTCTCCCCATAAATAAGAAAATTTAAATTAAAGTTGTGCATAATTATAGTTTATCGACAAATTTCAAAATTTATTTAAAAAATCCAAGCATTAGATTTGATATTTTTATTTTAGTAAAAGAAATAAAAATTTAAAATGGTATAAAATCTGTAATACTTGGATTTTGTAAATAAACCTTGAAATTTGTCGATAAACTAGTGAATTAAAAATTGTATCACTTTGTATTTTCATAATTAGGGGGGCTGGGGAGGCACGCTGAAAAACTAACTTTCTTTCGCAAACATTAATTTTAATTTGCTCGCCCAAAACTTTTTTATTTAATGTCATTAAAAACTTATAAATTTGGTGTGGGTCCCATGTCCAATAACTGACATATTGGTATACCCAAAATCCACCAGCCGCCACTGTACTAAACATTGCAGCAAGCTTATCATAACAATATTGCCTAAATGTTTTGTTTGCAACATTGCAGCAAGCTTACAATACAATATTGAAGCAATACTACAAAGAATGGTTGGATCGATATTATATTTGCAATATTGTAGCAAGGTTATATTAAAATTATATTACAATATTACATTGCAATATTGCTGCACGGTACATTCGAGCTTGCATCAACCTTTATGCAATGTTAATGTAAGAAATATAGCAATATTGCACATTGCTTCGCAATATTGCATAAAGCTTGTAGCAATATAACTTTGCTTAGTGGGTATGTATTATGGGTACATGTACATGGTTATGGTTAATTATAATTTCAATCAAAGGGGTTAAAATTGATCTTTTTATATTTGTTTACCAAAAAACAAACCCTTTTGGGTTGATAATCAAAAATAATATACCTAATTAAAAAAAATCCAATTAAATGATTTTATTTTAAAATTACGTTTTTTTTTTAATTTTAAGCCCCTGTCGGCACGGGTTAAAATTAAATTAGGGAGCTCAAAATTTTTGTGTTATACTTACACCAAATATAAACTATTTAGGGAGTGATTTGTATTTTTTGTTTATTACTTATAAATAAGGAACACCCTAATCTATATATTCCATGTTATGTATTTTAAGTATTGCCTTAATATGTTAAATGTTTTGATGTGCAAGTTTATTATGCCACTCACTTAACTTAAATATTTTTTATTATTAAAGAATTGTGTAGTTTAGAGTCCATTTTTTTTTTAAATTCTCAAAACGTGAAATTGTACGAGTACTTTAAAAGTTAATGACTCCACTTTTCTTTTTTGCACTTGTACCCTTTTGCTTCTTACCCCTTTACATATCGAATATAATTACACAAATCACTTTTACACGCTGCAAAATCAAAATCTCATCAAATGTTCGCGTCTATAGTTAATATTTTCAAAGAATTTAAGCAAGTCATGAATAATTTTTGATTCGCTTTTAAAAAATTTCTATTGGCGTGCGTGAGCCGTTTCGAATTTTATTTATAGTCCAGGAAACAAAGATTGTAGAAGGAAAACTTAATGGGAGTCGTGTTTTTTTTATTTAGTCAGGGGTGCTGATAATGAATCAAGAATATTCCCCAAAAATTTCTTTCCGCGTCCCTTCGAAAGGGGAGTTTTTTTACTTTGGCTCATAACTCTCTAACCGTGCATTTTTTCAGAATTTGACCTCTAATACTTTTTTATGTACTAAATAAGGCACACGTTAAACCCCTTTTGCTATGCGCAGTGTGCAAAGTTGAGCGTTGCTTTCAAAATCACTTTTTTGTTTTTTTAATAAAGTCCAATTAAAAGTAATCGATCCCAAACTTTAGGGTAATCAAACATAACCGAATTGACGATTTTTTGAGGCACTAGACTTTTTTCAAGTTACTGCTTTTCAATGGACAGGGGGTTCTTTTTTCAAAACTTTAATTTTTGTGGAACACTTGCAATAAAAATAATTAAAAAAAAACTACGGATTCGTTACGAGGATAAGTGTACCTAAAAACAGTGCCGGTTTAAGTTAGTTCGCCGCCCGGTTCTGGCACAAACACAACGCCCAATGCTTTAAAATATTACTTTTTTAAAAACATTTTTAAGTCTTACTTTCTCACGTCAAGTGAAAGATTAGGTTGGTTAGGCTGGTATCTAACAGTAAACTTAGTATCCTATAAAATATAAAATGAGCCTTTATAAACAAATTATAAAAACTAATCAAAAGCACTAACTAAAAATTAAAACATTCTTTGGTTTATATAAACAATACTAAGTACTAAGAAAAACTAATTAAAAAATAAAAGTTTAATATTTTGTTTCATTAAACTAATAAAAACTAATCAAAAGTTATGAATAATTAAAACATTATTCTTTGGTTTAAATAAATATTGAGAAATCCTAATACTAATAATTAAAA